GTTGGAGTTCCGGTGGACACTAACTCTTAATACTGTTTGTCACATCAAGTTATTGTAAAGTAAAAGATCAAATATGTGAAAAGTATTTCACACGAAATTTCTGTGTGTCAGCAGTCATAATAGCTGCAGCAGATTGTTGGAACAAGGATTAAAGCAAAATAATTTTAGGCCTATTGTTACTTTGTGAGGACCTACTTAAAATAATTAGAATTCAGACATCTTGTTAAATACTTTTTGTATTATTTGGCTTGGCCTAAGCATAATGTCAAACTTGGACTGCCACAGATACAGGCAGGGCATGATCAAATTGCTATTTCAATTATCTGGTAGTGACAGGTTAATTCTTAAATGACTATATTGTACTCATTGATTAGGTCAAAATTTAGGAATGTTTTGCTTTCCAAGCTGTGTAGAGGGAGACAAAGAAAGGAAAACTAGATGAGGAAAGTTAGTGTATAGTAGCGGAAGAGAAGAAGAAAGTCTTTTAGGGGAAATGAGCCTCCTAGAGTCATTCAGAAACATCCTGGGGATTGAATTAGGGTAAACTGAAATATTAGTGGCAGTTGCCAGGGGTTACCTGTGATGTTGCCGTATTGAAAATGCCATGCTCTTGAGCTGGCCCAAGTGCAGCCTGAAGATTTAAGGGAGCCAGCAGTGCTCTACTGTGTCTGCAACACATGAACTAAGGGGAGCGTGGCTTGAGAAATCACCCATAGACATCTGAGAGTACAGACTTGTGCAGCTCATGCACGTGTGTGTGTGTGTGTGTGTATGTGTGTGTGTGTGTATGCACACGCACGTGGTGGTGGGGTAGTGGGAGAGTCAGGGCTGGCCCTTCTGGTAAACTCAGTGACCATTGTTTTACTCAGCATTTCAGCATCTCCCACATTTTAGTCGTTCAGCTACAACTTTCAACAATTTTTGCCCTATCCGTTTACTTTTTTTTTTTAATTTTTAAATGTAAATGTATTTTAAACAGAACTTTATATCTCTTGAAATCTCCGGTTAGAGGTACCAGTTATAGTTTTTCCATTGAAATAAGTTGACATAAAAGTTGTCTACCTGTGGTCCACCTAAAATGATCATGAGAAACACTCCTTTCACGTAACTTCACATCTTCCCTCTACAGAGTAGTATGCAGGATGCTGAAGGTAGAAGTGTAAAGGGGAAATGCAAAGACTGGAAATGAAGGCTTTTCAGTGTAATTTTCTGGACAGATTCAAGATGGTAAGGGATGCGTGAGTGGGTCAGTGGTTGAGCATCTCCCTTCAGCTCAGGGGGTGACCCCAAGGTCCCAGGATCGAGTCCTGCATCAGGCTCCCTGTGAGGAGCCCGCTTCTCCCTCTGCCTATGTCTCTGCCTCTCTCTGTGTGTCTCTCATGAATAAATAAATAAAATCTAAAAAAAGAAAAAAGATGGTAGATGTCTCCCTTTAGGTTATCAGCCTAAAGTAAGTTTGGGTTACATTTTAAATTTAATTATTTGTCTTTTCTTTATTTGAAATTTATTTTTAGGCTACAGGAGTTTCTTGGCCTTGTATTTCCCCTTATTAGTTTCCTAGCAGAAATTTTTCTTCTGAAAAATTCTAAACTTGCTTTGACTACAAATAACGGGGCATACCAGTTCCTCCTCACTTATTTTAGTGATGATATCTACTCCACCTGCTAAGTCCAAGTGTTAACTTAGTTCAGCCAGCATCTATGAGCTGCTTTTTCCTTGTCAAGCACAGTGCTAAGTCCTGTGATGCAAAGAGGAAGCCATGGTCCCACCTTCTGTGAGGCACAGCGTATAAACAGCCCAAACAGTTGCATTTGATAGAGGTATGTGCTAGATACAGAAGACATGAACTCTTTGGATAGATCAACAAAGGCCTTAATCGCGGGAGAGTAGTGGAGGCTGGATGACTTGAGTGCAGAATAATAGGAAGGCAACATAGTATGTGACGGGATGAACGCTACAGTCCCTTCTTCCCAGGTAGTCTTTGTGCATGTTTTTTTTTTTAATTTTTTTTTAATTTTTTTTTTAATTTATGATAGTCGCAGAGAGAGAGAGAGAGGCAGAGACACAGGCAGAGGGAGAAGAAGGCTCCGTGCACCGGGAGCCCGATGTGGGATTCGATCCCGGGTCTCCAGGATCGCGCCCTGGGCCAAAGGCAGGCACCAAACCGCTGTGCCACCCAGGGATCCCTGTGCATGTTTGTTCTATAAAATTTCTGTGGGTTCTGCATTGGCCCACATGGTAGCCCAACAAGAACTCATGTTTGAAATGTGTGGTAGCTCACAGCCTTGCTGCCCTGACCTCACATGAATTTAAAGCAATAACTAGGGACCCTTCAATAACAGTTGGCATACTGAGGTGGCACGATTCCCAAAACAACATCTTAATGAGGTTCTGTGTTTCAGAAGCAACTCTTCTTGTTCAAATACACTCAGGCATGACCTATGTCTCTGGAAGCAATGTGGCAGAAGTGGCTGGGATCATAGCGTGAGTCCTCTCTGGGGCAGCCCCCACTACCTTAGTGACTCTGGGCCTGGGCCAGAGGGTAGCATGCTACGGGAGGAGGAAGAGGATAAAACAAATCAGGTTTGAGCTACCTTTAGGGATGTGGGTGCAGAATCTGAGATAGAGGAATTCTAGTCTCCCTGTGGGTCCTCACCCATCCCCCCAAAACCCAACCTCCCACAAATACCTAGCTACACATTCAAAAACCAGTAATTGAGAGAAGATCTTTAATACTATCCATGTAGGGGTCTTTTTTTAAGATTTTATTTATTTATTCATGATAGAGAGAGGCAGAGACACAAGCTCCCCACAGGGAGCCTGATGCAGGGACTCGATCCCGGGACTCATCACGGGATCATGCCCTGAGCCCAAGGTAGACAGTCAACCACTGAGCTACTGTAGGGGTCAATTAAAGGAGAAACTTCCAATTCATCCTCACTTTGGGTACCTAAAAAACCTCCACAACGTTATTTGCATTGATAACTGCATTCCATCTTAGAGTCTGGGGGATTTAATATAGGCAGGCTTTTAAGAAAATTGTCTGTGTGGATGTTCAATGAAAAGAGCAAAAAATAAACCTCAGGGTGGAGGTGGGGGTGGTGGGGATTCAGTATTACTTCAGACCCAGCCGCGTATCTGTGTTGCCAGAGACCACACCCCTCCTCAGACATAACCACAAAGGACTATTTCTTTTGGCCAGGTCTCTGACCTCGAAGGGTCTAGACAGCCGCCTCAAAGCTTTGGGTGCTAGACATAATATGAGTAGAGTCCAAGACTTATTTCTATTTTATGTACTTTATTTAGCATGGCTATACCAATTTTTTTATTAATCACAAGTTTGACTCTTGAAATACATATAAAATGCTTCGCAAAATTGCTGCCCTTGAGTTTCATATGTAGTCTAAATCACACTCAAAAATATAAGGAATAGTAGAATTAATGGCAGCATCCATAAGTGATGCCATATTGCCTCTGTCTTGGAGATGCAGCAAGTTGAGAATAAGGACTGATCTCCAGTGTGTGTTAAATCTTTGGTTTTCTTTCTTATGAATGTGACGAGGCAGTTTTCTCTTGGAAAAATAGTTTGTGTTCAGCTGAGGAGGTTGATTTTTCTCCATCAGTTTCTCTCTTTAATAATTGAAAACTACTGTTCATTATTTACATAAAACTGTCTTTTTCTGGTCTGCTTTCTATAACCTTTCCCCTCTGAAGAATTTTAAGAATTCCCTGACTTTCCTCTGGGGGATTTTATGCCTGCTTTATCCCAGATGTGGGACATAGACTAGGCTGAGGTTTTGGGTTTTTTTTTTTTTTCTTTTTCTTTTTTAAAAATGTTCTTGTTTTTGAAAGATGTTCTTTTAACCTGTGCCACTGGAAAAAAAAAAAAAGGATTTTTAAGAAAGTTAAGCAGTTAAGAAAATATGAGCTTGGTTTCATTGTCTGACTTACTGAATGACACCAAAATCCCCTATGCAAAATGAAAAAATAGGCAGCAGTTTCAAATAATAAGGGGAAAATGCACACGTGTTATTTCAGCCTTTTGATTCTGGGATTTTATTTTCTCAATGAAGGCCCATCCGTTTCTAGCCCCGGCAGCCCCTTGTCTGGCCTTTCAATACACGCCTGCTGATGTCAGCCCAGGGAATCCATGGGCTTGGCTGCCGGTTACTCTGCTTTTGTCTACTCTCTCCCCACCTTCTGCTGACACAAAGAGGATATAACCTTACTCATAATATTTTGTCTGCCTATACTCGTATAGATGTATTGATCCTAATCCCTGCTGCAGAATGTAGAATGTTAAGGAAGCCGGGAGAAGCCAGAGTGATGGAGCCTATAATTAAGAAAGACAGGATTTTCTCTTTTTTCCTAATGACCATCCAGATTCCCAGACAACATTTCTCCACCAGCTTTTGGTTACTGTGGTTTTCATGTTCATGTCTAAAAAAAAATACCATAAAATCAAACTTTTTTTGCGTGATAAAATATGAGAACGATGCCACAGAGAGTTTGTCTTACCTACTTGAGCAAATATAATATGGTTTTCCCAAGTCCAAAGTTCTGTTTTCTTCAATGACTACAGGTCTGCAGTATCATGTTTACTTGGTTAATTATCCAATGAAATTATTAGAGTTTTAATTTATTTTTGAGTATAGTTGACATGCAATATATTTATTAGTTTTAGGGGTACATCTTAGTGATTTGGCAAGTTTGTACATTATGCTGTGTTCACCACAAGTGTAGCTACTATTTGTCACCATACAATGCTATTATCATATCATTGACCATATTCCTTATGTTGTACCTTTTCTTCCTGTGACTAAGTTATTAGGCTTTAGTAAGTCTCTTTCTAGTTCAAATTTTTGTTGTATTTCTTAAAAAATCTAAATTCATAAGCTTTCTTTTTTAATATTTAGACCTGCTCCTAGTAAGCAAGGTTGTCCTTCCTACTTTGCCACGTTTCCCTGGTTGACATATCCTTTTCTTTTTTCCAACTATAGGATCTTTCGAAGATGGTTTGGCTGCCTTGGAGATTTGGAGATCTGATGCCACGATGAGGACTCACACACGGGGGGCCCCCAGTGTGTTTTTCATATATTTGTTTTGCTTTGTGTCAGCATACATCACTGACGAGAACCCAGAAGTCATGATTCCCTTCAACAATGCCAACTACGATAGCCACCCAATGCTCTACTTCTCCAGGGCGGAGGTCGCAGAGCTCCAGCTCAGGGCTGCCAGCTCGCATGAGCACATTGCTGCCCGGCTCACTGAGGCCGTGCACACCATGCTGTCCAGCCCCTTGGAATACCTCCCTCCTTGGGACCCCAAGGACTACAGCGCCCGCTGGAATGAAATTTACGGCAACAACCTGGGCGCCTTGGCAATGTTTTGTGTGCTGTATCCTGAGAACATTGAAGCCCGAGACATGGCCAAAGACTACATGGAGAGGATGGCAGCTCAGCCTAGTTGGTAGATTTTTGTCTTTTTCTTCTTACTGTATGAACTCTGCAATTTAAAGACATGAATTTATACTCAGATGAAATCTTGGAAGCCAGGTTTTCACATACATGTATGAGTGAAGGGGAGGGGTTACTCGTTATTTGTGGTGTTAGTGGCTTAATGAATGGTCCATAATTTCAGAAGACCCAGTAATGTCCGTGTTTAAAGTTAGAGGAAAATATTTAGATATATCCTAGCCAAAGAAAACATAACTTGCTGCGTTGAGTAAATACTGTCATCCAATTGTTGAGAATTCTTTCTTCTAAGTTTAATGAGCATATAGTATGGTCATCTGGCTTTACATTCTTATCGACCTCTAAGTGGTTAAAACCTTCTGCCAGCAAGGCATTTGGGCCAATTAAGATTTGTTTAAATTTTATGACAATTAGGAGCTAAAAATGAATATGATAGGATTAACTGGCAATAAACAAGATCTTATCCGATAACGACCAAACTGCCCAAACCTGTAGGAAAACCTGTTGTATAATTTTGTGAGCAATTCTAACTACATAATAATTTATCTTCAGATTTTCTAAGATTTGAAAACAAACTTGCTGTCCCTTTTTGAATTAGCTTAAATTTAGTTTATTTCTTTATAATAAATATGTCTGCCTGCTTCCAAGAAGATATGGGGGAGTTGATTAGGGATTCTGTGGGTATCCTTACCCAAACTGTGTTTTAATACATATTCATGGTATACTTGCACCAGAAAAATTACAAACTATATAAAATACCTTTTTAAAATTATAGAAATTTCTTTTTTATAGGACTATAGAGAGCTCTTTTTTTTTTAAGTGACGGAGCCACCCAGGTGCCCCTAGAGAGCTCATTTTTAAATGCTTAAAAAAATCAATAAATGCATTTAATGCTATGATAAGTTATATTTCACCCATAATAGAAGTGAAAGATGGTAGTTTGCAAACTTCCTGAATTCTAATTAACTGATTTTACTCTATTCCTGACACCAAGAAAGAAAATAAAAGATGTATGAAAATTTGATATTTGAACTACAATATTATATTATCAAATGTTATAAGTACTGGACATTGTGTAATTGGTTAAAAATGGCAACCGTGAAATACTTTTTGTAGAAAGAAACCCCTCTGTTGCCTAAAAGCTACTTTTTCTTTTAAAGTCCCTTTTTAGATAGAGAAGTTAAATTTGTCAGATTAAGATACTAATGAAAATGTTCAAGAGAATAGTTCCTGTGAAAAGCTATTTCACTTTATAACAGAGTAGCTGACTATGAAGTACCATTGTTTCATGAAGATTTTTTTTAACACAAATACAATAACATTAAGAGAATTACACCAAACTGATGCAAACATTAAAATATAAAACATTCAGAGGTATAAATACCAACTTGAATGAATGCTGTCATTAGAGAGGATTAGACTCTTAGGATAAAAGAAGGGAAAATTAAATAGCTTTACAAAAATGGTGGTCTCTATATTGTTTGTACAAGTAGAGATTTACTGGGTTTTGGAGGTATGTATAAATTTGCCAAGAGACTAATACTTCATTCATGGCAGTATTGATAAAAATAGATATAACTCTGTGCTGTATCTGGTCACCAGAAAGTCATTCTGTGATTTGGTAGAGCTGAACAATTGACTCCTTTCTCTTGACCTCCTTGAAAGAGGAAGGTCAGAAATGGAAAGTTTACCTCTACATTTGGTTTCTAATGCCAGAAGTGATCCTAGCAGAAATAGAAGAGCTACTGGAACATTTTATCTTGACAATTACTATTACTAGGTTCTACTTTTAAATGATTTCATGGAAATTTTAACTTTTAAAATTTACCATGCCCAACTCTTGGACTCTTATATTCTCACTTAGATTTATAGTTGAATGTAATCACTTTTTGATAGCTTAAATGCTTCTGTAGTTCAGCTGTCACTGTATAAATCAACTCAATGATATGTTCCCACAATGCACAGATAAGTATATTGTGGATATTGTATTTTGTTTCCTTAATCTCCAGGGAAAGGTATAGTAGAAATAAGTAAATAAAAACATACATATGAAAATTTTAGGAAAGTAAAGTGCTAACTCCCCAAACTCTAAAAATTGACTTTGGAAATCTCTTTTAAATCTCTACTAAAGGGGCACCTGGGTGGCTCAGTCAGTTAAGCATCTGCCTTGGGCTCAGGTTATGATCCCAGGGTCTCCAGGGTCCTGGGATCCAGTTCCACATAGGGCTCCCTGCTCAGTGGGGAGCCTGCTTCTCCCTCTACCCCATCCCCTGCTCATACTCTCTCTCTCTCTCTCTCTCTCTCTCTCTCTCTCTCTCTCTCTCTCAAATAAAATATTTGAAAAATAAATAAATCTCTACTAAGAATTGCTTTTATTATTTCTTGCCTTAAAGTTTAAGCTTTTGGTGGGGAGATATTGTCTTAGGATGTAGTTCACATATATTAGTTTCAGAGAAAAAAAGAACTAGCTCTTATTTACCAAAAAGATCAATAATTCATACTATAGTTTTGTTTTTTAGAAAGCTTCCTACAATGGCTTTATCAGACTGAATACCTTTTCCATTTTCTTTGAAGAGCATTTCTACTCCTTTTAAAACCAATGACTTAGTTGTGTTCACTCAGTCAGCTAACTTCTACTGAGTATCTGTTGTGTGTCATGCACTCGGCTGCGTACCAGGGATTCAAAGATGAAGGGATGGCCTAGAAATTGTTTAAGCCACCCCTACAGTGAGGAGTGCAAACACTGGGTATTTGAAAGCTAAGCGAGGGCGGTGCCCTCTTCTCAGAAATCAGAGATTTCATTAGTTTTCGTTCATGACACAAAGGTTTGTATCGTGCTGCACTCTGGTGTGATAGAAAGTGTTAACTCCACATTCTCACCATCTGGATTTGAATCTTGGCTTTCCACATTTTGTCTGTGCCTTAATGTGAAGTGGCAATAGCTGTAGTATCTCCCTCAGAGCCTCATTAGGAGGATTTCCAAGATAACAATGGAGATTACTCAGCACAGTTTCTGTCACCTAGTAAGCCTTCAATAAATAAGAATAATGACGTTAATGATAAGTATTGTTACTGTTATTTATTCAGTACCTACACCCTGTTTTGGCTTATACATCAGTATATGTAGACTCTAAGGAAATAGTATTTGGGATTTATGTGGAGATTTTACTCATCTTTGTCCAAATGACTCTCTAAACTAGCACATCTGTTTAACTCACTAAATTTCCCTTTTCGCTTTGTTCTGTTAAAATGTTCAGTGATGCTCCCGAGGGCCCTTTTTTAATGCATATAAGAATCTGATGGTAATGCCAATGAAGAAGGTTTAGTGGAATGTAACAGTGATGTGTCTTTTGTCTGGTATTAAAAAGAAGTACATCTGATATATGCATGCATACAAATTTGTTAATATGGCTCATTTTTCATTTGAGTATTTTGTAAGAAAAGAGCTAAAAGTAACATCTATATATTCAGTTATTTAGGGCTCTTGGGCCATTATAAAAAACAGTTAAAGGAAAATGTTGTCTATACAAATCTTGTTATGTGTCCATTTTATATGACACATACTGCCAAGTAAAAGGGAATCTGAAAGATTTATCATGAGAATGGTAGTGATTAGAAAACAACAGCATGCAAAACTTCTTATTTTAGCATTATACTTGCATGTACCTCCCAGCACCACAGAAGGATGAGTCCTGTCTCTCTGTAGTATCTGCCTTTGCAGATATGCCATGTCCTTGCTCACACACTCCTTTGTTCTGACTTCTGCTAAGGCTCAAATGTTCTTCATAACAGTAAAATAAACAGTAACTTAAGCTTGTTCCTAGTTCTAAAAATCAAATTTTAAAAGATATTATTTTAACTTATATATAAAGTGGCAAGTCATTTTCAGAATCACCAAAAATATCTTTAACCCTTGGATTAAGCCTTTTGGGGGGTGGGGGGTGGGTGTCCCCTATAGATCTCATCTTCCAAATGAGAACTAGGATTTGCACTGCAGTTGGCTCCATATTTCATATAAAAGCTTGATTAGAACTTAATATGCAGCTATTTGGGGGCACCTGGATGGCTCAGTGGTTGAGCATCTTCCTTTGGCTCAGGTCATGATCCTGGAGTCCTGGAATCAAGTCCCACATCAGGCTCCCTATAGGGAACCTGCTTCTCCCACTGCCTGTGTCTCTGCCTCTCTCTGTGTGTCTCTCATGAATAAATAAATAAAATCTTTTTAAAAAAGAACTTAATATGCGCCACTTGAAGAAAGCTCAGTGAGCTGAGGCCATAAGTCTAGAGCTGGTAACAATAGAAAACGGATTTTAATCCACTTAAAGTGAATTCATTTTTTATAAAATGTCACCTGGTCACTAGAGCAAGTTCTACGTATGTCAATTGGCATATAGGGTATTCTCCTTTATAAATGATTGCTTTCTGTCTTCAAACCTTACATAGTTAAAGAACACAGCTAAACTCCAAATATTCTCCATCAGGTCCTCCCTACAAAACCTTAAACTTTAAGATAGGAAAATAACAAAAGCAGTTCTTAGTAGAGACTTATTTATTTTTTAAATATTTTATTTGAGAGAGAGAGAGAGCATGAGCAGGGGATGGGGTAGAGGGAGAAGCAGGCTCCCCACTGAGCAGGGAGCCCTATGTGGAACTGGATCCTAGGACCCTGGAGACCCTGGGATCATAACCTGAGCCCAAGGCAGATGCTTAATTGACTGAGCCACCCAGGTGCCCCTTAGTAGAGATTTAAAAGAGATTTCCAAAAAGTCAATTTTGGTTTGGGGAATTAACACATAGTACGCTACTTTCCTAAATTTTTCACATTTTTATTTTTATTTACTTATTTCTACTCTACCTTTCCCCCAGAAGATTAAGGAAATAAAATACAAAATTCAAAGTAGCTGAGAAAGAAAAGGGAAGAAAAAGATCCGGGACATCAACTGAATTAGGAATGAGACAGTTGCTAAAATGTTCTATCTCATAGACCAGAAGTGG